TCACATCATTTTATATCTTCTATGATGATGTTTGATCACGAAGGACAGTTATTACAGTCCCCTTATCATATCGATAAACTTATAGGGCCTCGTTTAATATTGTTGCATATTTGCACCACTTTTCCAATCGCACTTGAAGTTTATAAATAAGTCGTTAAACTCCATGATAACTTTATTGCTATTCCTCTATTTCAAGTAAAATTGATATTATTTTTTCGGTAGTTTCCACGCTTCATTTCAGAGAGAAAAACACATTGTAACTTTTTTATAAAAAAATAGGCTCATTTTGGTCATTAAAGATCTTTAGGTCTTCCGAAACATTAACCCATGCACGTGTAAATGCTCTCTCTTCCTATGTGGTCCAAGGCATATTCGGTGTCTTTCTATTTTCTTTGGGATCGGAATTAGTTTTAGGTAGGATATAGAGTTGGGGTTACGATAGGGTTTGAGTTTGTTTAGGGATTGGAGTTAGGGTTGGAATTGGAATTGGAATTGAGTTTATTGAACAATCTCAAATGGGCTACAATCAATTTGGGATTGGAATTGGCTAGGATAATAGAACGCAGGCGATGAAAAAATAGGACGATCCATTTGAAGTTAGTAAAAAATAGGTGATGAAGGGTTTGAATTGTTTGTGTTTGGATTTTTTTTTTACTTGTGGAGAATTATAGGAACGATAGATTCTAAAATGTAAACATCATAAGAAAGATTTGACAGGATGAACACAAAGAGGTAAATAAGATATGTTTGCATTAATGGATAGGAAGAACAATTCGATACAATGTGATCGTGCAGAACTATTCTATGTGCCAAAAACTATCCATTCTACCGACTAATGCTCCTATATATAGGCGTCATAGGAGCACTAGAAAGGAATCATAAGTCGACAGTTCATAACTTCAAACCTAAGATTAAATACATACCGAAATCGGAATTACAACTACATATCTCGGAATTAAGAAAAGAAAATAAACATAACAACCAAGCTGCAAACAACACATATAACTAGACACAATATATTTCCGAAACCTAACAATATACCCCTTAGTGTCAAGTTGTTGTTGCGGTCTTTTCTTGCTCTTTCTTTTCAACTACAAACACCTTCAGAATAGTCTTCAATAAAGTCATCTAAATGACAGTCCACCATTTAATCATACCAGAAACACACTTTACATCTCCTTCATTATTTGACTTGTTCGCTTCTGCTTTTGCAAGGATTTGATTTAAAGTTGATGTAGAAAACAAATGCTTATCTCTTAAGAACATCATACAATGCAACACAATTTCATTTTCTTTCATCTTGTAAGCCACTCCCTAATGATCTTTTTCAATAAAACCAAACTTGAATTTTTCCAAATTCTCTAGAGGAGGAAATGGCTTCAAAATAGGCTTTCTTCTAAGAACATATGCAATTTTAATATCCATCTTCGCAAGTTTAGGAATATATGCACGTATCATACTTCTTAAAATTTGATAGTGGTGGTTGTCGAGGCCAACAAAATAAATACCCTAAATATTACACACTAAAATAGTGTATAGTGGTAAAGGGATCGTATCCACGGAGATTGGTTCAATTTACGTCTCTATGTAAATCACTTGTTCAAGTACTTGTAAAACAAAAGTGAAAGTAAAATGGAGGGGGGTTTAATTCTTTTGGATTGTTTGACAAAATTAAAACTAGCTAGAATGTAAATATGACAAGTAAACAAGTAAAAGATTTGATTAAAATCAATGAAGTGCAATTGGTTGATTTTGGGATACACCACACGAATGACATAGTTGACTTATCATTAGACTAAAAGGAACAACACTTGTGAATTGGTTTAACTTGGCTATAGTAATTCATAAGCACAAATTACCTCAAATGGGCTACAATCAATTTGGGATTGGAATTGGCTAGGATAATAGAACGCAGGCGATGAAAAAATAGGACGATCCATTTGAAGTTAGTAAAAAATAGGTGATGAAGGGTTTGAATTGTTTGTGTTTGGATTTTTTTTTTTACTTGTGAAGAATTATAGGAACGATAGATTCTAAAATGTAAACATCATAAGAAAGATTTGACAGGATGAACACAAAGAGGTAAATAAGATATGTTTGCATTAATGGATAGGAAGAACAATTCGATACAATGTGATCGTGCAGAACTATTCTATGTGCCAAAAACTATCCATTCTACCGACTAATGCTCCTATATATAGGCGTCATAGGAGCACTAGAAAGGAATCATAAGTCGACAGTTCATAACTTCAAACCTAAGATTAAATACATACCGAAATCGGAATTACAACTACATATCTCAGAATTAAGAAAAGAAAATAAACATAACAACCAAGCTGCAAACAACACATATAACTAGACACAATATATTTCCGAAACCTAACAATATACCCCTTAGTGTCAAGTTGTTGTTGCAGTCTTTTCTTGCTCTTTCTTTTCAACTACAAACACCTTCATAATAGTCTTCAATAAAGTCATCTAAATGACAGTCCACCATTTAATCATATCAGAAACACACTTTACATCTCCTTCATTATTTGACTTGTTCGCTTCTGCTTTTGCAAGGATTTGATTTAAAGTTGATGTAGAAAACAAATGCTTATCTCTTAAGAACATCATACAATGCAACACAATTTCATTTTCTTTCATCTTGTAAGCCACTCCCTAATGATCTTTTTCAATAAAACCAAACTTGAATTTTTCCAAATTCTCTAGAGGAGGAAATGGCTTCAAAATAGGCTTTCTTCTAAGAACATATGCAATTTTAATATCCATCTTCGCAAGTTCAGGAATATATGCACGTATCATACTTCTCAAAATTTGATAGTGGTGGTTGTCGAGGCCAACAAAATAAATACCCTAAATATTACACACTAAAATAGTGTATAGTGGTAAAGGGATCGTATCCACGGAGATTGGTTCAATTTACGTCTCTATGTGAATCACTTGTTCAAGTACTTGTAAAACAAAAGTGAAAGTAAAATGGAGGGGGGTTTAATTCTTTTGGATTGTTTGACAAAATTAAAACTAGCTAGAATGTAAATATGACAAGTAAACAAGTAAAAGATTTGATTAAAATCAATGAAGTGCAATTGGTTGATTTTGGGATACACCACACGAATGACATAGTTGACTTATCATTAGACTAAAAGGAACAACACTTGTGAATTGGTTTAACTTGGCTATAGTAATTCATAAGCACAAATTACCTCAACTCTTCTTAGATATTAAAATGGTTGGAGGAGCTCTAACACATTTCCTTAATTAAAGTCACAAAATCAATGAAGCATATAATCTTGTGAAAATCAATTAGCTTTGAGTTCTAAGAGTTACTAAGTCCATAAGATAATCAAATGCTTACATTATCATTATGGAGGAAACATTACCATGGTTTAAATGAAATGAAAACAAACATAGAAACCATTTGTTGCTTACCAATCTCAAAGTCTATTACTTAACCAAGAAATTGATCAACAAAAATGTATATTTATTCATCTAGGCTCATGATCAAAGATAAACAAACATAAAAAGATGTTTAACTAGAAAACATTTCCATAAACTTCAAACACAAGGTAATAATAGTCTTCAAAACAACCAATCATCCATGGGATTAAACCGTAATCAACCAAATGAAAATCTAGCCCAGCATGGCCAAGATAAAAGAAATACAAGGTAGTTTAGAAATACCAAACATTGTTCTAAGTGAAAGATGGAAAGAAATAACACCAATCTTCAAATTCTTCAAATTCTTCCCAAGTGTTCTTGAGAGCAAAAGAGTAGTTTCCCCAAGAGATGATGTGAAGAAATGCTTCCAATCTCCAGCAAAAAGATGCTTATTTCCGGATTCAAAAAGTTCACAAAAGCCATCCACCAACCTTCCCAAAATAGAGTCAACAAGTCAAACCCTGGAATTACCTCAGCACCATTCACGCGGACCGCGTATGGATCCATGCGGACCGCGTGGGTCTCGCTGATTGAATGCTTTGGCCCATTAAAAATACAATCCAGCCCAATATTCTAATTTATGCTCTAGCCCACATGCATAACTCTTGAAAGCCCAATTGTGCTATTCCAAAGCCTCCAATGATGATCCAACGCTCCTTCAATCTTCCATAGCTCGAGTCCTTGTCCAAAGATTAAGCCCAACGCGCTTCTTGCTTATATTGACACCGATCCCAATTGCACCACCTCAAGTTCACAAGCAATCCACAAGCCTCCAATTGTCCCGTACTCCTTCCATACCTCTAGTAATGAATAGTCTTCAGTAAATCCTGCAAAATAAGCTCAAAAGACTGGAAAGCACCCGGTAAAGGAAAAAAATAATAAAAAGAGAAAATATGCATGAAGCTTAACTAAAATGAGATGGTTTTAACTAAAAATAAACTATGAAAAGAAGTAATAAAAACAAAACTATCAGATAGATAGGATCGTACTTCACAACATCCTTTGCAACAATATTAAACAAGGAAATCCAATCATAAGGATTCATAAATGAATATCAGCCAAAGAGAATTCATGCACCTCATGATTATGACTCCTGAAAACCTTAAAAGTGATATTTGTGAAACCATCAACAACTATAGGTTTTCCAACTTTCAATACAACGATCCTTTTCAAGCTCCAAGATTCGTATTGAGGCTTGGAGTTATTCACATAAAAACTAAATAGCTTCTTGTTTATTGATTTGTTTGCCAAAGGAACTTTCACAATCATATCAAAACATCATAATAGAAATGATTTAGCAGTAATTGGAAAATCCAATTGACAATCCATTTTATTCTTAACTGAAAAGAAGTCTGAGGCTCTAACCAAAACATATTTGGATTATCAATTGCTTCTTTCTGAATCCGGTCAACAGTCCACTCTGGAAACATAGCTTTCTTTGAAGAAAGAATTACCTCAAAATTCTTCTCTTCAGCTTCTTCTGCTTCAATTTTTGCTTTTAATGCATTCAAATCATCAAGCTCTTTGTCACATTTTTCTCTTTCTTTCAAATCTTTTTACGATACATTAGGATTCATATCATCATCTAGTTCTGAAACAATATTAACCTTTCCTTTCCCTGATCTAAAAGATACATTACCCTTCCGACCAGTTTTCACATCTCTAGGATTTGTCATCTTTTCTGTTAAGGTTTGTTTTTCTAGAATAGCTTTTGCAGCATCTAACTTAGCCATTTTCCAAGTTTCATAAGAATTTCTCAAATTAACTTCTGGAATCTCATCCTTATTAATAGGAATTTCATCTTTATTTCCTTCTCTATCACCTTCATTTCCCTCTTGTTGTCCTGTAGCCAAACTATGTGTAACATCTAAAACTTCATTTAACTTCGCAAGAATAGGATTCATCTTTCCATCAATAAGTTGCGAACTGTAATTAGCATATGGGGTATCCTTGGTTTCAACAATTCATACAAGACATTGATTAATCTCAAAATTTTGACCTTTCACCAAAAGTAACTCTTTACTCATCTGGGCAAGTTGAAGTGAAGCATTCCTCAATTGTTCCTTGAGAACATTCACCTTATAAGTGGATTCAGCAAGAGCCATGATTCTGTTTTCATGAGCAAGATCATTATGCATTCTCAAGATAGAGTTTGCAATAGACGTATGATGATCTGCATTATCACGTTGAAGACCAAAGCGAAGACTGGATAGAAATTCCTTCTCAGTTTGAAGAGATAAATGAAATCCTCCAATCACTTTATTAACTTCAAAAACATTCTTATAAGAGAATTTTGAAAGTCAATCATGAACTTTTACATGTTGGAAGATATTTTCTTAACCTCAGAAAAAACTTTTTCAATCTTCTCATTTGATTCCACAATCTTCTTAGCTAAATCTGCTGCTAATGTGTGACATCCCCATTTTCTCGGCCAGAAAAGACCGATTTCATTTATGCTTTTTAAAATAAAATCAGAGTAATCTTTCAAAAGGTGTTGCGGAATTTGTCCCCAAAACAAAATATGATAAAAATTTATCAATGCATTTCTTAAAGAAATGTATTTTCATTGTATTATAAAACCTTAGGATGTCATGTTCCGATACAGATCAAAAGCATAAACAGTACAATATAGGCCTTACAACATTTATTTATATCTACTGGCCTATAATCCAAAATCCCTCGCCATCTTCCAACTATGCTCTTGTTCCACTATCAGTAATATAGAAAACTAAGTAGATCAGACTTGGGAGCCTGGTGAGCATATAAGGTTTTCAACCCACAATAAATAAATGTATTAATTTTCATCAACCAACAATAAATTTATTAATTTCATCAACCAACAATAAATTTATTAATTTCATCAACCAACAATAACCGTGATTACCCGTTCTCGTTATCCTCACTTTACGTCCTTAAACACCTATACAATGGACCTAGCGTAAGGATTTTCATCGGGGTGACAACACTGCTTTTCCTTAGCAATTTATGTCAAATAAGGCAACCATCGGGGTGACAACACTGCTTTTCCTCAGCAATTTATGTCAAATAAGGCAACCATCAGGGTGACAACACTGCTTTTCCTCATCAATTTATGTCAAATAGGCACGAAGTACATCGTCGCCAGGGTTTATACAACAGGCACTAAATTCATAGCTGCCAGGGTTTATACAACAGGCACTAACTCCATAGCTGTCAGGGTTTATACAACAGGTGCTAAGTCTATAGCTCTCATTTATCGACAACATTATTCACGGGAATCCACCTGCAATGCATGTCAATGGGTTTTTAGAGTACATCTGATGAACATATAGTTCACAGCACCTACAGGTTGCGAGCCTGCTAGTGTTCCACAGACCGTCTAGAATACTCCATGGTTGTCATCCATACTCTGCTGAATGACAAGGGCCAACGTTTGGGTAAAGGATTTTCTCACTTTTCACCTCTCACCCTTATCTCATGATCTATATCACCTTTCTTCTCATCATCCAACTCGTTTTTCATCACACACCAACTATTTCATCTACCAATGTTTTACCCAACATATATGTAGATATGAAATACATATACAGTTTAAAACCTGTACAAAACATTTATTCAACATTCATCTCAAATAAACAAACAACATATATACACATAGCAAGTATTTTATATAAAATACTTCATATCTATGTGTAAGATGAAAGTGACTATACACTCACTTGATAAGACGGTGGTGGGACAGCACTTCGTCCCTTAAAACTATCTTTTTCGATGAAACCGGGGTTTTTTCTCAAAAACCGGGCTCTACGCGGTCAGAGTTTCGACTCGACAAACTCCTTTTCTTGGAGACTTCGGGGCTCCGCGCTTGCTTCAGGTGCTAGGGGTGTTCCCGAGGCTTCGGGGGGTGTAGGATAGGCTAAAAGTGGTATAGAGAGTGAAAGAGAATAAGATTTGTAAACAAAAATCTGGAGGTCTCGCTTGCTATTTATAGGAGGTTGATGCCTCGCATTACGATGGGCGTAATATCCTGGTACGCGGGGCGTACTGCCTTGCGAGCCACTATGCTGGGCGTACTTCGGTACGCTGGGCGTACGAAGGGATCATCTCGGACGCGTCAAGGCTACGAACACGTGTGCACCATGCGGAGGAGTAGGCGATGTGGCTGACTCCGGATCGAATACGTGCGAAGTACGCTGGGCGTAATATTTATGTACGTTGGGCGTACTCCTTCGGACCAGCCTCGAAATTCGTGCCAGAACTTCAAAAATCCATATCTTTCGCATACAATCTCCGTTTTCGACGTTCTTTATATCCACGTGTAGGTGAGATTATGCTCTACAACTTTCGTTTAGACTCTGTCGCATAATTTTGACTTTATTTTTAAAGTTATATTTTTAACAGGCCGGGACAGGAAAAGTCCGTTAAAAATTCATAACTTCCTCATCCGACGTCTGTTTTCGTCTGTCTTTTTACCGTTGAACTACTATCAACAAGATCTTCGATTCTCGTTAAGGCTGTGTTAGCTAAAAATCGTCGATCTCATATTCGAACTTCGGGCTGCATACTGCTAAGCCGAAACTTAGAAAAATCATAACTTCCTCATACGAAGTCAGATTTGGGTGTTCTTTTTATGCACGCTCTTGGTTTTACGAACACTACGAATTTCGTTTAGATCACTAAGGCTAAAAAGCAATTTATCGTAAACTTATATTTTACGTCACACAGCGTCGTGACGGTGCTGTCGCGAAACTTCGACATGTCATAACTTCTTCGTTATAACTCGGATTTCGGTTTTCTTTATATCTCCGGAATCCTTGTTTCAACCACTACAACTTTCTTCATAGATACCGGGTTCATCTAAAATTTATTTTCGGCGCTTATTTTTATCCTTAACTTATTAAATTATAATAATTAAGTATAAAGCACATAAATTCACATAATTTATTCTTATTACTTCAAAACACGTTACAATAGTTGACCTAGACTATTACATCGTCTTTAATGCTTAGCCCAGAAACACGGGCGTTACAATTCTCTCCCCCTTAGAATGATTCCGTCCCTGGAATCATATATCAACAAACAACTGCGGATAGCGACTCATCATGTCACTCTCCGTTTCCCAGGTGAGATTTGGTCCATTCGTATGTTTCCATCGCACAAGCACTAAATTGATCATCTTGCGTCGTAACTTCTTAGTCTTACGGTCAACAATTGCCTCTGGTGCTTCAATTAACCTCTTGCTTTCATCCAACCTTAATTCAGAAATTGGAATTATGTCGGGAACTTCTCCCGTGAACTTCCTCAAATAACACACATGGAAAGTGTTATGAATACCATCTAGTTCTTCTGGTAGTTCTAGCTTGTAAGCTTGGTTCCCAATCCTCTGAAGAACTTTAAACAGTCCAATAAACCTTGGACTCAACTTTCCCCTTTTACCAAATCTTATAAGTCCCTTCCATGACGAGACTTTAAGTAAAACCAAATCTCCAACTTCGAATGTTATCGGTTGTATTTTCTTGTCAGCATAGCTCTTTTGACGATCCTAAGCTGCTAACACACTTTCCCTAATCACTTTCAGCTTTTCAGCAGTCGGATGGACTATCTCGGGTTCCATAAACTGCTTTTCTCCAACTTCAAGCCAACATAACGACGTTCGACACTTTTGTTCATACAAAGCTTGATAAGGTGCCATCTTGATGCTCGAGTGAAAACTATTATTGTAGGAAAAATTCTACTATAGTAGACTGATGGGTCATGTTCTAATGACCTCCCATCGTATTATGTACTGCTTAGACTCAAGTGTTTTAGATTCAAGTTTCTGAACATAATATACCTTCCTTCGTGTTCCAATGTGATCACATTCTAACTTGTAGTACTTCTAGCTACAAGCCTCTTACTTTAATAATGATTGGGATACTTCAATCTTCCCGTTTGAGTGGGATACTACATCGGACTTGGTTCTCTGAACCATATGACTAACTCATATTGGTCGGACTCGATTCGATATAACCTCTTGGGTCGGAATAACAATCATCTTCTTAGTCATTACCGAAACGATGGTAACGACAGACTAGAACAAAACAGAATCAATTACTAGCTCCTTGGTAACCACGTGACTTTCCCTGATCCAAGTGCGAGTCCTGTGCTTCCGGTAGTATAGGCCTCTACTACCATTCACACCTACTCATACTCGTCCCAAGTATTGTCTCGCAGTTCTCCAAGTCACATTACAAGGATTCCACATAGTCATTCAATACATCAGATAACAAAACCAGGGTTTGTATTATTTCTTGAAACGATTACACAGAGGTTCAAGTTTACCCTATATTATGCCTCTAATAGGCTACACCACATGTTACTATTTACATTGCTACTTCATAACTTGTCTTCGGGTATCAAGTCCTTACTTCTAATTCTTAGCGTTGTTATTTGCTTCATCGAGGATATTCTGAAATTCCCTTGGCGTTGGCGATGCGCTTGGCCTTGCTACTTCATTTTTCTTCGGGCATTCCCTAGAAATATGTCCTTCTTCCCTACATCCGTAATACACTCTCTTGGGAAACATACACTCATCGGCGTAATGCCCAGTCTCTCCACACTTAAAACAATTCACCTTCCTGCCATAATTTCCAGAGTGTTTATTTTTTCACTCCCCGCACCATTTTCCTTTACCTCCTCTTTTACCAGACTTTGAGAACATGTTGCTCTTGTTGGACCTTGAAGACCCCTCAAATTTCCTCTTCTTGCCAACTTCAACCTTGTTGGTGGTCCTGTCATTGATCATTTCTTCAATAGACTTAGCAACCCAGATAGTTGCCTCAAGAGCAGATGCCTGACGTACTGGCACAGTAAGTTCGTCCTTACTTTGTTGAAGTAAACATTTTGTCTCTTCCATCTGTTGATCCAACATCGTACGCACCATTGC